GAGTTATGTTGTTATGGGACCTGATCCACACAACTACGACCCTTCAACACTGTTTGATCTTAGGCTTTAACATCGTTTCCGCCTGAAATAAGTCAGCCCTTTTAAGATGTTTGAACCTATGTCTTCTTCTGATCCAACGAAGGGAAAAGCCACGACAATCAACCAAGGTAAAGAAAAGCAGAGAAGCAAGAATTCGAACTTAATTAAATTTCTCAGAAGGCTTATCACTAAAGCATAATACAACACGCCCACTATTTCAATACACTGGCCATTGTCATCATCACGGAAACTTGCACAAAAAATAATGTTATACAACTGTGTGCAATGCAAGCTGCCTCGTATAAGCCACCCAAACACAAAAAGAAACAATTATACCGTTGGAGTACATTCCGAGACGTTTATGGATAGGTCAATATTACTTACAAGCGGCCCTTCATAGCATCTAACGTTCAACACATAATCGGAGCAAGAAGCTGAAATCCTAAATAAATAATCATTCGGAAAAGGTGCACTATAGCTGAAAAGTATCACTGCTGTAATCAGTAAGCCTCGCCAGTAATGTGAGACGCGAGAAAAGGATTTTTTAAATCGAAAGTAGAAAGTAAAGCCAATAACCGGCTAAACTGATGAAGGAATCAAGAGGCAACAATTGCTCCGGTACATTCAGACGGCCTGACCTGTCTGGCTTTTACCAAGAGAGGAAATAACACGAAACACTCTTAGCCTACACACTTCACGTCAATTGAAAAGCAGCTCAACCTTTTCAGTCGTTAAGAGCCTGTCTGCGCACAGAATAGGGAAAAAGACAGATAACAGGAGAATCTACTCGTATTTGAGATTTTTTTTTAAGACGACTGCTTCCTGGTCCATCTTACCCAGCACGCCATGAACGTAGAGAAAACACTGACCATTCCTCCCGTCCGTGCAACAAACAAAATCGCAACAGCTTTCTCAAACAACGAACAGTGCCCACTTCAAAGACATTCATTCATTTTGAGTGTGTGTGTGTGTGTGTGCGTGTGTGTGTGTGTGTGAGTGTGTGTGAGTGTGAGTGTGCGTGCGCGCGAGCACGCGAGTGTGTTTTACGGCGCTCGCAACTGCATAAGGTCATATGAGCAAAGGGAACACATTAACATTTTCAGTTCGGTAGGAATTAGTTTTGAATTTTGACTGGGTGTCAGCGGAAACGTACTCTGATTGATTTTAGGGCCACAAAGGGATTTTAAACGGGGGCAACTAGCCCACGGGACCTTCGAGATTTATTTTCGCCCTTATCCGAGAAGGGTATGTGTTAGATCTTACCTACTCTAAGGTCAGGGGCCAGGGGTGTGTGTGAAACGTGAAGTTCAGGAAGTCGCGCACTCGCGCCCATCTGCCAGTTCTGTGGTCCTCGGCCGACGTCAACAGGCTGGTGACTGGGAGAGCATAGAATCTTCGTCTATTCGACTGGTTTCGTCTGTGTGATCAGATCGGGGGGAATAATCACACTGGATTCCGCACACTTATCTAACCCGACAGTAAGCAAAAACATATTCGAACTTTAAATAACAGACTTAAAACGAGGTATCTCGCTTTAACTGGTACTATCGGCCATCGATTGTGTTATCCCCAAAGCCAGGAGTATACTTTAGCCATACAACGAATACAAAGGACGTCTGTTGTGTATCTTACTGGAACGATATGACGAATCAAAGCCCATGGAGAAAGGGAATGAGATACGATAAAACGACACCGACCAAGCGGTACGGCTCTCAATATATTCATATCCAGTCATCAAATCAAGCAGAGCCAATTTCATGATTCCTCGATCATTTTTTATTTTACTTACAGTCAAACGTTGCTATACCACCAGCCTAAGCAGGAGCATGAAGCTGGAATAAAGGGGCTGGCGGTTCAACCGGGTTCCGCTATTTTACAGCCCCGACTGCCGAACGTCAAGGGGGGGCATGATTCTGCTGCGCAATTAGGGTTTGAAAAGTGGCCTTTTGTCGATGATTCACGTGCTCATGTATTCAGAGCCGAAACCTATTTCGCGCTCTCTCTATGTCTTTCTCATGGAAGAAATAATGTCAAGTATTAGTAGCCAGCCAGTGGGTGTTATGCAGAGTTCGCTGGCGGTACGGCGGGGCAAATTTACACTACTTAAACAATGACCGTGTAAATCAGGCAGTAGGCCGATGTTGGATGGCTGTGTGAAGACGTATAACTGACAGTCGAATGGGGCACGACATTTCAACAGACAATCGCTGTTACTCCACACAGAACTCTCTTCTTTCCCGTCCTTCCTTCCACCATCCCCCCTTCCCCCACCCCATTTTTTTTTAACGGGACGGGAATCGAACCCATGTCTTTTCCGTGCTGCAGCGAAGAGGCTAATATAACCGCTACGTAAGCCACAAACGCTGGTAAGTCGCGGTAACATAGCCTTCAAAAGCGCTCACTGAGAAGCTGACGCCACATGCCTCTTCTTCACAATCAATGCACAAGCGCACGGTAACAATGGCATGTTACGACTTCATTTCATGGGGTGGGAATAATCGCCTTTGAGACTGCTTCAAGACAAAGAGAATGAATAATTAGTTGTATAGCTTTTCTCCAACGATCGAAAACACAGAAAGAAGGAAACTGGTCGCAAAGCAAAGTTGTCGAAAGCCCAACACGTTTAGGGAACAAAGAAGGGGGCGGAATGCGGGTGGAACTTTTCTTTCCGTTTGTTTAAAGAACATAAATACAGGCGTATCTGTGTGTGTATGTGTGTGTGTGTGTGTGTGTGTGAGTGTGTGTGTGTGTGTGTGTATGTATAATATGTGTGTGTGCCTGTGAGTGTATGTGTGTGTTTGTATGTGTGTATGTGTGTATGTGCATGTATA